CACTATAACTGTTCTTATTATACATGATATATGTATCATTTTTTAAATTTAACTCATAGAATATTTTTACATTTTCTACGCAAATAGTACGTATATATACCTTCGTCCGAGTTGTCTGATACTCCTTGGACAGCTGTTCCTCGAGCGATTAACTCAACTCGAGATCCTTTCTCCAGATTGGAATATAGATTTCCATTATCGTTGTAGAAGAAAATTTCCGGGAACCAAATTTTCTGTACCTCCTCGGGCGTCAGCATGTTGAGGGAACGTTCATTTTTCAGGTCAAAAAATTTGAGGCGCGAATCTTGCCACATTAACAGCAGCAAGAAGTTTGTTTCGAAGGAGAGATCTTCAGTCTTGATTTCAGGGAATGAAGATATGAACACAGATATATTTACTGGCAGCGGCTCACTCTGAACAAGAGGTGGCGGTGGGATTGAGTTGCTGTAACCGATTGGGATGCTCAGAAGAGTGCATTTCGTCTCGTCGCTGTTGTCGGGACAATCCACTCTGAGGTCGCACTTCTTGCGCAAGTCTATGCAGGAACCATCATCACACGTGTACTCGCCAGGAAAACAGGCCGATATGGTCAAATGAACCTTTTCACCTCGATTGTATCCACAAATTTGTGATTCCACCTCCCACGTTTTCGTCCCGAAAGGATAATCAGAGGGCGAATCAGGAATGTGCAGAGCCGAGGCACCCGGCGTCTGAAAAATGTTAATAAATAAATTTTTTCATTGGAGATTTTCCTACTTCAATTCAAGGAATGTGATGCATTAACATATGCATCAAATTTCAAAAATATACTAAAAAAACGCATTGTATAAACTATAAACAAACGACTATATGCAAGCATCAATTATGTCCCACTTTTTTTGAAGCCAGCTTCCACGCTTGGGTTTCGTTGTTCCAAAAGATGTCGGAGTGCCGGTAGCCAGTGAGTGAAGGCCGGTTATTGACACTTCTATGTAAGATAAATCTATTGTTGAAAGGCGAATTTTTGCACGTGAGAGGCCCTTTTAGGAACATTGTTGTGTAGTTCTTGAATTCACAAAACATGCATTTTTTATGTGAATCGAAGCAAGCGAAATCGGACCAGAGTCCATTGATGCCAGGACCATACATCATCACCAAGCAATTTTCGACAGTGCCTCCGTTGGGGCTACCTCCACGCCAGCGTCCTTGGTACGTGATTGTTTTATTGGACTCGAAATACTCCCAGCGGCCTTCTACATTACCGTCATGAGCCCCAAGCCACAGGTAAGCTGATCCGTGGTAACTAGAGCAGTGTTCAGCCCACCCGACCGTCTCGGTGAACATCCGAGTGTTTTCTGTGTCGTTGATAGGGATGCCAATCTCCCCACCAACTTTCTAAGCAAATAAAAGTACACGTTTTAGTTTAACAAAATTTAGTAAAAAATTTGTTTAATTTCAACAAAATTTGGCAAAATGCGTATAAAAATACGCATTTTGAATTTACTTACAGGCGTTGTGAATGATTTGTTTGATTCTAAACGGAATCAATCAAAAACGGAATCTAAACGGAATATAAATCTAAATAGAATGGAAGTGTCGGTACCGAAGAAATAGGCCCATATGGCCTGTTGCCGATGCTTGTACTTTTTGTGACTAGCTTCACAAGGGATACGGCTTTTTTAACCCGATTTTTCCATAACTGACGATTGATTGAGATAGCTGCTGGACTGGAATAATAAGTTTGATTTGGAGTGAATTTTGTTCAATTATTGGTTCCAGTCAGACTAACCGAGAATGAGTTTTTGAATGAATATATACTTCGGAACACTAGCAGAGTATCGGAAACTAGGTATCGCATAATAAGCTGCTCACATTCTAATTTACGGGATTCACCAGGGAAGGGTGGATGACTTGAGCTGCACATCACATCAGGTAAAAACAATCTTAATTGGGGGGGGGGGGTGGTAAGAGTAGAGGAGTCTGCTCGTGAAGAAATGCCATTTCAGTACAGAGAGTGGTGCCCAAATGGATTAATATATGCTTACACTAATTTATTTAATCACCTTACACATAGCCCGAGCCTCGTTTAACTGAAACCGATTTGGAAAGAAGATGAAGTCTCGCCTAGACGATGAGCAGAGAGTAGTCAAGTTTTGTACAAGCCACTCGACCTCTCCACTGATATTCCAGCGCAGTGTTGACCACGCCAACGCATCACCTTCATCTT